CTGTGCATCTTATTACACTAAAAAGGGAAGATGTCATCTCCCGCGACATATTACATTGGGCAGCGAATTCTCGTGTTGAAGCTGTCAAAATGTGGTTGTGTTGAGGGAGTCAGGTGTTGAGCGTGTCGTGTGCTCGCTTGTAAACACAAGGCGCGTATGAGGTAAAGTACAGCCGCCCGTCCACCTATCTTTCACCTGTGCCAGCCCGGCCATTCTTGCACCTACACTATCACAAACACGCTGGTGACACCCTCACTGCACCAGCCGCATACCATCAACATACTTATCCAAAAATATAACCATGACTTTAAAATAAAGTTTGTTATTACAAATATATACAAGAAATCACATCACCAAAGACGAAATAAAGAAATTCCTGACACTACGGCTGTTATCGTGTGACACAGCCAGCGGTGGTGTGGTCTGGGACTCAGGCGACACCAGACTGATGGAGACTCCCTGTGTGACAATGGCCTTTATTTTCTCCCGCAACCGTAATACACACCTACACCATTTATCCCATTATTCTACCATAACACACACACATAACACATAGCCCGGGATCATACAAGGCATTAATAATGCTTCTTGTAACATAGACGGCCGACCAGCGTCACACAGTGTGGCCGCCACAGTCCAGCCTCACCAGAGACTCGTCACCACACACCCTGAAATCGAAAGGTCCCACGTGCACAATATTTCTACTTAACCATAAATTATCCCTTCTCTGAACCTGTTAATAATACATTCCTTACTCTTACAATGTTATAAGTGTTGTTAATAGGCTGGTGTAAGGGGTTGGCTCGACCTACCAGTACTGACAATCCTCTGCTGGTATCTGGGAAGAAAACTTAACACTTCTCCCTCATAGTGAAGATTAGAGGAAAAGTTGTCTTCCCAGAGTGTGACCTTGACCGCGAGAGGAATGTCAAAATGATAATTATCAAGGATGTAGTATGTAAAAATATACGATATTATAACCTATAAGTTGAAAACTGGAGTACCTTCGATCGGACAGTGTTTGATCTAACAAATGTCTCGATCACTCATAACGAAGACTTAAAAAAAAATCAACTAGAACAAAACTTTCCGGACTCGATACTCGCTTATTTCTCAGTCTCTACGCTTTACTGGTAGTATACAATGTGTGGGAGTGTCATGTGTCACGCATCGAGGTCTCCAACATACGGAATACCACAACAACGTGAATTTGTGATTGATTATTCAGCGGTGACCAAACAACTATCAAACAACTATTTAAGCAAAGCAAAATAAATAAGCATGATTATGGAAGGAAGATATATGGAATGGGGGGGGTTACTGTATGAGGTAATATGGGGTGGAAGAGTCGGGGAGGGGTGGGAAATGGAGGGAGAGAGATATGATGGGGAAACTGATGGTGAGACTGAGAAAGATTATATACCAGTAGTGATAATATATTTGAAATTGACTGTGTGAACTGTCGTTTGTAGGGGTGGCTGGCCTGGTGTTTGAGGTTATGGTAGGGTGGGTGGTCTGGTGTTTGAGGTTGTGGGGGTGGCTGTCCTGGTGTTTGAGGTTGTGTGTTGGGGTGGTTGGCCTGGTGCTTGAGGTTGTGGAGGGGTGGCTGGCCTGGTGTTTGAGGTTGTGTGTAGGGGTGGCTGGCCTGGTGTTAGAGGTTGTGTGTAAGGGTAGCTGGCCTGGTGTTTGAGGTTGTGTGTAGGGGTGGTGGCCTGGTGTTGAGGTTGTGTGTGTGGAGGTGGCCTGGTGTTGTTGTGTGTGTGGAGGCCTGGTGTGTGTGTGTAGGGGTGGTTGGCCTGGTGTTTGAGGTGTGTAGGGGTGGCTGGCCTGGTGTTTGAGGTTGTCTGTGTAGGGGTGACATTGCATTTGGGGTTGTGTATGGGGATGTATGTTTGGGGTTATGTGTATGGGGGTGATTTGGCATGCGAGTCCTTTTCACCAGTGCTTTGTGTAGGATGACTTGAAACAGTACGAAATTTCCAGTGAGGTGTTTGTAGCCACGCAGGTAATGAGTAAGGGAGCGGTTGTGTGGGATGGGATAATATGGAAATGTGTATTTTTGAGGTAGCGTGTTGTGTATTTGACATATATACTGACAGAAAGAACTATGGGTTCATTTGATAAAACTGCACCTGGTAGCGTACACATTCGCTAAGCACGTGAACAGTATATAGAGTAGCAGTGGCGGTCGTGGAGTGATGTATGGGATGGTAGTGATACTGGGTCAAGCGTGGTGTGCCGTTGTGTTTGGTGGAGGTGTTTTGTGAGGGTGTGGTGTAGGCGTTCGGTGAGGGTGGAGTGTGGTGTAGGCGTTCGGTGAGGGTGGAGTGTGGTGTAGGCGTTCGGTGAGGGTGGAGTGTGTGTTCAGGGTGGAGTGTTCGGTGAGGGTGGAATGTGGTGTAGGTGTTCGGTGAGGGTGGAGTGTGTGGGTGGAGGTGTGAGGGTGGAATGTGGTGCTGGTGAGGGTGTTCGGTGAGGGTGGGTGTGGTGTGGGGTGTTCGGTGAGGGTGAAATGCTGTGTGGGTGTTCTGTGAGGGTGGAGTGTGGTGTAGGTGTTCGGTGAGGGTGAAATGTTGTGTGGGTGTTCTGTGAGGGTGGGAGTGTGGTAGGTGTTAGGTGAGGGTGGAGGTGGTGTGGGTGTTCTGTGAGGGTGGAGTGTGTGGTGTAGGTGTTCGGTGAGGTGGAGTGTGTGGTGTAGGTGTTCGGTGAGGGTGGAGTGTGGTGTAGGTGTTCGGTGAGGGTGGGAGTGTGGTGTAGGTGTTCGGTGAGGGTGGAGTAGGTGAGGGTGGAGTGTGGTGCAGGTGTTCGGTGAGGGTGGTGTGTGGTGTGTTCGGTGTGTCTGTGAGGGTGGAGTATGTGGTGTAGGTGTTCGGTGAGGTGGAGTATGTGGTGTAGGTGTTCGGTGAGGGTGGACTGTGGTGTAGGTGTTCTGTGTGGGTGGAGTGTGGTGTAGGTGTTAGGTGGAGTGTTGTGTGGGTGTTCTGTGAGGGTGGAGTGGTGTGGATGTTCTGTGAGGGTGGAGGTGGAGTGTGGTGAGTGGAGGTGGTGGGTGTTCTGTGAGGGTGGAGGTGGTGTGGGTGTTCTGTGAGGGTGGAGGTGGTGTGTTCTGTGAGGGTGGAGTGTGTGTGGTGTTCGGTGAGGGTGGAGTGGTGTAGGTGTTCGGTGAGGGTGTAGGTGTGAGGGTGTTCTGTGAGGTGTGTGGTGTGGGTGTTCGGTGAGGGTGGAGTGTTATGTGGGTGTTCTGTGAGGGTGGAGTGTGGTGTAGGTGTTCGGTGAGGGTGGAGTGTGGTGTAGGTGTTCGGTGAGGGTGGAGTGTGGTGTAGGTGTTCGGTGAGGGTGTTCTGTGAGGGTGGAGTGTGGTGTAGGTGTTCTGTGAGGGTGGTGTGTGATGTTACATGGTATGGAAAAGTCGATGGATATGTCGTGTTTGGTGTTGATGAGAGCTACTGGGGTGACAGATGAACCAACACCTTACATGTGTAGGCAGTGAATGAGGGTGGTGTGGGTGGGTGTGTGTAGTGGTAGCTCACTGTGCTGCCGCTACACACACGTCACAATCTCACCTCTCTACATTTCTGCCGTAGGTAGCGTGTCTACCCAGTACATACGCCTAAACACAGATATTAGAACGCAGTAAAAGAGGTCTCTTAATATTATATCTATTGGTGAACCACCTATTTTTACTTAACAATTGCCATTAAATGGCATATTTATTTTCTGATAAAACTATATAGCCTATGATACTTTTTTTTAAATATTTGAGACGATGGTGGGACACATCTCTCCCTATCACGTGTTGACGTCAGCGTGTCACCATGACGTAACAACGTCACATGTTGATGTCAACGTGTCTTATTGACATCACACCTGCCACGCGTTAACGCCACCGTCACACCATGAAGTCACTAATTCCACGTGTTGATGCCAGCACGTGTCACATCATGAAGTCACAACGCGCTACATGTTGACGCCAACTTTTAACACCATGACGTCACTAACGCCACATATTGATGCCAGCACGTGCCTAACCATGACGTCACATCTGCCACCTTTTGAAGTCGACACGTCACATGACATCACTCCAGCCACGTGTTGACGCCAGTACGTATCACAATGACATCACACGCGTCACGTGTTGATGTCAACACGTGAGTATTACCAGATGTAAACATGGTAACTTGTGTACAACATAGATTGCACGTGCCTCACGCAGCAGGACACCACCAAGGCTGCGCGAGGCACGTAGTGTGGGACGTAGAGACTTGTGCTCATTATTACCCACCATTTCACCTGAATGTTTCAACTCCCCTAACAGTCACCTGAAGCCACTCTTGCTGGCGACTGACACTTCTTGTGTAACACTACAGTGCCAAGGGAGCGTAAAATACTGTGTGGGTATCCTAAATGAGGTCTTGAAGTCTCCTCAATCTCCTGTACTGAGGGTTCATGCGCTGTCTATATCAAGTCTTAGTAAAATAGTGCATTTACTAATCTATCTGCTACCTGCTAAACACCTGCATATGCTGCGTATCCATATAATATTCCAACTCCATGAAGACTAATCAGCTTTGGCTGTCCACCCGCGTTCGGCGCGTGTCGAGCACGCAGGTGTCGAGTCTGCCCTGAGGTGTTGTCTCTGGGGGGAGGGGAGGTTGGGGGAGGGGGACTCAACAAAACATCTACTCTATGTGGATGGGATGTTACCTGACTATTCCTCCTACCACACCACCCAACTTTTACTTACAACATGGATATATATCTATATATCTTACGTGTCGTGAGCAACATTTCCAGTCACTTCCACATTATTTCTTTTTTTATCCATTTGAAGAGCATTGCACTTAAATTTTGTAGCTACATACCGTATCACTATTATCTATACTGTGTCAACCTATCTCTATTAGCTTGAAGCTTAGACACATTACCTCGTACAGTAGTCGTCGGTCACTTCCTGTGTAACCAGCTCTTTACCTCCAGAATAAAGAAATAATACAAAAAAAAAATGTTAAATACAATATATAATAAAATACAATTAAAATGATGGACATTCATCTCTATGTTACCTACTCGGGAGCAATACTAAGTTCCATTTTTCACATCTTTGATGATCTTCTGCACCAAGTTGTTGGTCCTAAAGCAAAGACGACAACTTGTTAGCTAACAGCTTACTGCGGGAGGTGCAGGCGTGACCCCAAATGTGGGTGGGGTCAGCGGTGCACCCCAGATGCGAATAGTGCTCAAGCGCAGTGCTGCCCTGATCTGCTTGAGCGAGAGGGGGCTGCGGAACTGCGGGAACACTGGCGGCCACAGCGTCAGAAGTGGTAGGGCGGGTAGTGCGGATATTGCACAGGCCGAGTCGGGTCGTCAGGCCGCGGCGGGTACGGCTGGTAGGCACGGTACTCGGGCCGCAGGCCAGGGTACTCCGGCAGTGGGTAGTAGTGCGGGTACACCTGTGGGTGCGGCGGCGGCTGGGCCAATGAAGCAGCGGGGGGATACAGAGGGTCCTGGGGTAGCGTCGCAGGCGGCGAATAGAGAGCAGGATGGTGAGGTTCAGTTGCTGCTGCGGCAGAATATATTGGTGCCTCCCCTCCCGTGAAGACCACGGGCGTGGGAGGACCACCACTTTCCCCATAGTCAGAACCCGGGCCCATAGCAGGAGGAGCTTCCTGCTGTGGTCCCTGGCTCTGTACGTCTGTCTGTTGCTGCTGTGGATGCTGCTGTTGTAGTTCGTGCTGAGACTGCGGCGTCTGCTGTGGTTGTGTCTGTTCTTCCTCCGACGGGCACTCAGACCGGTGTGGGTCTGGTGCTACGTCGGCGCTGTGGCGGCCAGTGTTCCCTTCATCTAGTCAATATTGCTCCGAAGGAGGTCCTGGGGTGAGCTGCTGCTGCTGCTGTTGTTGAGCCTGCTGTTGTGGCGGTGGCGGTGTGTGTTGCGCCTGTTGTTGTGGTTGCTGCAGCGGCTGTTGTTGATTCTGAGGCGTGTGTTGTGGATCTGCAGGATAATGCTCAACTGTCATTTCCTGATGTAAGAAATCCTGATGTGGAAGGCCGTCTTCGTATTTCCCTCGTTTGAAACGCCCATACAAAGAGGAGTAAGGCAGATTAAAGTGTATAGCAGCCTGATTGATGGACATCTCACCTACCCGTACAGCTTCTAAGGCGTCCTTCATGTCTTCTTCCGACCACGGTACGCCCTAAGGGAGAGAGGTGGGCCAGGTCACTGTGACGTCACATCAGTGTACCGCTGTATTATGTTAACTGGTGTTGGTCAACAGAATTTCGAATGTGCCCAGTGTGAGACAAGGCACAGCAACAGATGATGAAAATATAAGCACACTAAACGTTTGTACGTGTGGAGAGGGGTGGGGGGGGGGTGTTAAAACAGTCCTAAACAAGATTGAAAACTATACTGTACATACACAGAAGATTTAACAAGGTAAGGATGACATTGACACCCCCTCCCCCCTGTGGGTCGATGTCCTACACAACCGGGGAAACGTTATCAACTTTTCTGAACTACTGTACTGTACTGTTCTAACAAACCAGCATTTTAAGAGCTAGGAAGTAATGGTAGATACTATACCTGATCTGGAGTATTCATTAATTTATTTTGGGAAAATTTAGGAAGGAGTTGAGAGGGTATTGTAAGAAAGTTTAATGTGACGCAGTGATATATCTTGAGGAGATGGGGTCACTCATGATGTTGTGCTTGCATTTTAACTCCTGACGGACTAGGTCTTACGAATTATAAAGTATGTATTACAGGGAATCGGTGTAACTTAAGGATTTCACATAATCCCTAGATGTAAACTGGGGCTCTCATATAATCCTTAAAATGGCCCAAAAATTTATTGTAATTGCTGAAACCTTCAACTAATCTAACCATTAACCATATTAGGTTCAGTTAGTTGACAACTGCAGAGATTACAAGAATTTCCTGAACACTACAAATTACCTGATTCATTCAAACTAAATGGGTGGCGAAGTATGTACATAATGAGTCCATACGAGGTTTTGACGTCTTATTAGTATCTTATATTATTGATAAACTCGCCATGGTATCGTCCGTGCCTGGGGTTCACTTAAATTATGGTATTTGTCTGGTATATAACTCATGGTACTCACCTGATACCGAGTAAATCATGGTACTTGTCTGGCTCCTTAATTAAACTTATAACAAACAAGGTGTTCTAATAATGTCGCTTCTGTACTGACCTGGTACTTGCTGAGCTCTATCCCCTCGCGGCGACACCGTCCGTAGAGAGTGCCTGTGGGGATGCCATATTCCTGAGCAGCTTTCTGGACGCTCATCCCCCCACGGATGGCGTCCAGGGCTTTGGTCAAGTCATCGGGGTTCCATGAGGGCTGGATGGCTGAGAACGGCGACGACAATTTGATGCCCTCCTTACGGGCGATCTTGTACAGTGTTGAGTTTGGGATGCCAAACTCCTTGGACGCTCTGCCGAGAACACAACGACACACCACAATTATTCACAGAATCTCATCGTTATTGCCAGTTATTTATAAAATCATTGTCTCTAACTTTTTGAAAAAAATCCATATGAATAGTGTATAAGTGTAATATACTCGTATGTTTTGAAACACAAATTTAATTCACTTCGTCATTTTCATGCCAGTTATGATGGTTCTCGTGTGGAGGACGGTATAATATTTCAAAGCGGCATGTTGTCTCGTTGTGTATTTCTATTTTACAGTCACGATATCTGTACGGATGTGAATTTACTTATTAGGTTTCTTGAGCCACCAAGTTTTAAAGATAGAGAGATGAAGAGTCTACTAGCACTTTCGTGCAACTCACCTGTTTGCAGACATTCTACCGCTGCGGAGTTCCTCCAGGGCGCCAGCCAGGTCGTGTTCACTCCACGTCTTGTTGGGCCCCTCCTTCTTGGGCGTCTCGATACCCATGCGGTGCGCGCGCTGCCATAACGTAGTGGCCGGGATGCCGTACACATGGGCTGCCTTACTCAGAGACATGACAGTGTTGCGCAACGCATCCAGTGCCTTTTCCATGTCCTCATCCGTCCACAGCTTGCGGCCCCCCGGCGTCCCCGACAAACTCTCTGTATCTGGGTGGTGGTCAAGCAGTCTAACGGTAATTTACAAGTGGTTGTATCACGTGTACACATGGGGTACTTGTGGCTATTATACCTTCCTCCCAACACCCAGATTTAGTGCTCATACTCAAGACAAGTGAACTCAAGTAAGATGACAGGAATTTACTGTCTCACTTTAATATGACTACAAACCTTATACTGCATTTTATATAATGAAAAAAAAAATTGAGGTGGGTTTTTAGTTTAAAAAAAGTTATTGGCAAAGCTTGTAGTACAGTTTGCCTATTCTGAGTAACTCAAACAGGTCTTGACACTGAGGGTGGTATCACTTCTCACTGCCACGCAGGACAGAGGTTCGTACACAAAGAAATACATCATATTCATTAACAGCTATATATGTATAGAGGTCAGATTCATGTGGGTAATGTCATTGTTCACTGCCATGCAGGACAGAGGTTCGTGCACAAAGAAGGAAATACATCATATTCATTAGCAGTATATATAGGTCAGTGGATCACATACATTGGAGTCATATTCTAATTGAAGACTAATCAGTGTGGGCTAGCAAATTTGGGATAAACCGCAAGAATGTCCTCAAGCTCCCCTGATTCAGTGTAGTGGGTGGGTGATCATATTTAGCAAGACAGTGAATAAGCGACCCAAATGCCAACAAAGGTCAATAGTCATGCCCATACTATAACTAATAACCTTTCTGGGATCTCAAAATTTCTGACGTTACATTTGGAGAAAAAACTAGGGATTCTTTCTCAGAGCTCGTCCATACCTCACTTCCACACATTTTTCATAATCTTTACAGCAACTGTCCACCCTACACGATATACTGTACCATTCTTGCTTGTAGAATGAAGTAACACACTCCTTTTTATCATTTACACAGAAGTTAGTCTAAAGCCAGCCTATCATCCTGGTGTCTGGCAGCATAGTTCTTAATAGTGTTGACACTTAGTTAACAGGTGGTGCCTAGTAGCATTAAATTTACAAGTGATTAACATTTAGTAAACTGATGGTGCCTGGCAACCTTAACCTTACAAAACAGACGCAGACAATCATAAAGGGGCTGCGGGTCCTCTGGCTCCCCGTCCAACACAAATTGAGTGACTATCTCCATGGCAACACAAGCGTCAACAACAGGAATTAGTGGCTTCAATTCTGGTGCGTCCTCTACACTGTCAGGACTCCTGCTGCCTGACGAATGTGGTTCCGATTCTTCATTGAATGAAGGGTGAAGAGGTTCCTCGCATGATACCATCGTGGCGTCATCACAAGTCTCTTGATCTTGAACACATGCATGATTATAGTCGGTCATAACGTCCACAGCAGCTCCCTCTGTTGAGTGTTGACCATTTAAGGATTTTATGCCAGATTTATCTTGTTTTTCCATAAGCGGGCCTCCACTCTCTTGTTTGTTAAGGATGATGCCGTTACGATTCTTAAAGCGATGTAACCAACCGTGTGAAGCGCAAAATCCCTCTACATTGAGCCTCCTAGCCAACCTCAATGCCTCCTGACGGAGATCTTGATTAATAACGGGTGAGCCTCTAATGTTTGCGTCTTTCAGCCACATAACAAGAGCTTTCTCCACGCCGGGAACTGTAGAGGGACGCAGACGTCTAACACTAGTGCAGTGTCCGGTTTCTGAAGCGGCCAAGATTGTTTCTCGATTTTTCATAAGTCTTCTTAAATTGGTTTCAGACATGTGTAACTCTCGAGAAAGACCCCTTATAGTTTTCGAACCCTTGGAGTCCAACAAGTTGAGAAGGCAAACCTTTTCCTTCAGGTTGTATGACTTCCTCGTGGCCGTGATGGAATGGCTACATCACACCTCGTTAGGCTTTTATATTAGCTGTCAACCTTGGTCAGGGCGGGATCAAGGAGTCAGGTTGAGGTCAGGTCTTATACCCGACTAACAAATCGCTTAATTCTTCTCCGGTACAACGCAAGTGTACGACCTGATACTAACACCACCTTTGATGTATTGGACTGTTTAGGTTGTTCATATACGATCAATATCACATTTGCTGGTAATTTTAAGTTGTAAATATTTTTTAGCATGTCTTAGATACAATGGCCACACTTCAATATATTAGTCTTTTAACATATAAGAATGTATTTCTAACCACCTCTGAGAGGTTAATTTTCGTCTTGTAAAATCAACATAACATTTCGCATAATTTTGTAAATTTTAAACATTAACTGATGGTATGTTTCCATCTCTCCACGAAATAATAACAATTTGAAATAAACTGTCGAGCCAATACACAAATTCAACCCTGAAAAACTTTTAGTTCTTGAAGATTTGATAAAACAGGCAAGAAAACGCGAATTATTGGGGGAGTGACCACAGCAGTAGTTTTAACAGTTCTTCAAAGGTTAGGTTTCTCGGTAGTAAATCAGTAAGGGAACGGATGACACTTCAGGTTCACCTTCCAACACACGTACACGCCTTACTAACCTCAAGTTCCACTTATGCTGGCGGTGAAATCGATAGGAAAATATTACTTTAAAATATTTTATAATGAACTTCTCCCCGTTTTATTATTCTGTACACGCGCCCCTTTATAATTTTCCCCTTTGTGACATTCCTCATTAATCAACTGTGTACATGTATGGTGTACTTAATACTCTTGATATATAATATTGGTTTACTAGGTCCCCCAAACCAGGTCACCTGTTACGTCACCAAGGCGAGTCAGGTATTATTAGGTTAACCACTGTCGTCAGGTCACTTATGTGTAACCCACTCCACCCACCTGTGTATTGTTCACAATCCATTATAATCCCCTCCACGAGTAGCTATGAGAGAAAATGGAAAATCCAAACCAACATCCAAAAACTATCATCCTTCCTCTGTACTTCCCACTTCTTAACTTTACCCTGTCCCTCATCTTAAAAACATAAGAAAATAAGGAGTCTGCAATAGGCCGGTTGGCCTGTGCATGGCAGCTCCTGTCGAGAGTTACTACCACTCTCTATCATCCATGAATCTATCTAGCCTCCTTTTGAAACTTTCCAGCGTTCCCGCACTTACTACAGAGTTGCTTAGCTTGTTCCACTCGTCCACCACCCTATTTGTGAACCAGTTTCTTCCTCGTCCACCACCCTATTTGTGAACCAGTTTCTTCCTATCTCCCTCCTAAACCTAAACTTATCCAACTTGAATCCGTTGCTCCGAGTCCTATCCTGCTCGGATATTATAAGAACTTTATCTATATCCCCTTTATTGATTCCTTTCACCCACTTAAATACTTCTATCATATCTCCCCGCACTCTTCGTCTTTCTAGGGAATGCAAGTTTAGTTTATTTAGCCTATCCTGATATGGAAGGTTCTTGTTGTTCAGAGCCACGGCTCTCTTATCTCGGTGTTCTGATTGACTGACTGTGAACAATATAATTTTTACTTTCACACACTCGTCAACTTATTTTTCAGTGTCCCCACTACTAACTTATTACATTTTCTCGTGATAAAACTGGGTCAAGTGAATTATTTGGATCACCTGAATATTAAACACAAACTTATTTCGCGTGATAATTAAATGCCGTGAACCTACGTTTGACAAAACCAGACGTACAGTAGAAGTTGTCAGAACAAACCTGTTTGTTTATATATGTAGTGCAACTTATTTCTATGTTAGTTAAACGTTGCAACTATAGTATGCGGTCTACCGAGCTAGAGTTGTGTTTACCGGGATATTTACACTGAAGCATCCATTAATCTAACCTAGGTTAGGTTAAGATATATTAGATTAAGTTAGGTTAGGTTGATAGACGCTGAAGTAAATATCCCGATAGACCAAATACTATAAGCACCAGTTAAACTATATTGTACACCTTTATTTACGGTAGACAAAAAATGGAAAATCCGGTTAATTACCTGAACAATCTTACCAACTCTGAAACTGAATTCCTGCCAGTTACCACGTTTATTTATAAAATTCGCTAGATTCACATCTAAAAGTAGCATCAAGTGTACACTGTAACAAAACTTAAATTGCAGGCATATAAACAGCAATAACGAGAGACATAGAGTGAGGGGTGATATGACTGAGGTGTATAAATGGAAGTCAGGGCTAAACAAAGGTACTAAAACATCCAACAAGGAGAGAACTCGTAAAAATGGTTTTAAATTAGACAAATTTAGATTTAGGTTTGAAAAATTAGAGTAGCGGATGAGTGGAACAAGTTCCCAAACTTCCTCCGTAACGCGAACACGCTGGATAGCTTCAAAAAAGTTGGACGGATACACGAGTGGTAGGGGTTGGGTGCAAACGGGACTGCCTAGTATAGGCACGCTGCAGCTTCCTCCGTTTCACACCGGATACGATACTTACTAAGTGAGTGTTCACACCGTATAATATGCAAGCCATATATTTTGAGACACTCAGTACCGTTACCTCAGTAAAGATGGAAGGCAGTACACAGTGGTTTTATGAGGAAGAGGAGGAAATTTTACTGCTGACTATGAATGTCTAAATAAAAGGGAAAAAAGAAGGAGGTACATGAAACAAATGTGATAAGACCAAACTTTGGCGACTGCCATCATCTTGTGCAGGAGCTTTCAGTTGACGAAGAAAAAATTTAGACTATTTTAGATTGTCCCACGCTCAGTTCAATGAAGTTCTATTAATAAGTGAAAAGGATATCAAGAAACAAGATACAAACTACAGGCAGTCTATAAGCCCCAAAGAAAGGCTGGCCTGAAACAGCGCTAGGTGCCGTCTCTCAACTGTCAGTCCCACTGCCAAAATGTTCTTGTGCGAATGCGCGACGAAACCATGCCGAGAAAAAATCGCGAAGGAGCCAATATGGGATGGTGCATATCCGGTCTGGACAGCCTCATTGAAAAACAACATAAGCAATTCAAGGCCACGTAATTTCCATCTGCAACATAGCTAGCATAGCATCCGGTGTGAAACGGCCCATACTGGGCAGTCCCATTTACACCCAACCCCTATTGCTCATATATCCATCCAACCTATGTTTGAAGCTATCCAGCGTATTCGAGTTAATGATGATGTTTGGTAACTTGTTCCACTCGTCCACTACTGTTTCCAAACCAGTGTTTACCTATTTCGCGCCTAAATCTAAATTTGTCTAATTTAAAACCATTGTTACGTGTTCGCTCCTGGTTGGATAGTTTGAGTACCTTTGTAATGTCCCCTTTGTTTAGCACCGACTGTCATTTATACACCTCCATCATATCGCCTTCTCTCTACGTCTCTCGAGGGAGTGCAAATTAAGATGCTTTAACGGCACCTGTCTGTGTACTCAAGGTTCCTAATGCCCGGGATTAGTCTTGTCATTCTCCTCTGAATTCTTGCTAGGAATTCTATATCCATTCTGTAATACGGTGACCAGAATTGAGCTGTGTAATCCAAGTGAGGTCTCACAAGAGCAAGATATAGTTTTAGGATGACATCTCTAGTCTTATAACTAACACTTCATTGTATGAACCCAAGTTCTTTATTAGCCTTGTTTCTAGGCAAATACACATTGTTTATTTGGCTTATTTTTCCTATTTATCATTACCCCTAAATCTTTCTCACATTCGGATTTCTCTATAACACCGTTGTTCATCTGATATCTGGTTTCTCTGTTTATATCTCCTAGACTAATCACTTTACATTTGGCCACATTGAATTTCATCTGCCATTTTTCAGACCATTCGAATTTTTTTTTAGATCTTCCTGTAGTTTTGCGGAATCCTCGTCAGATTTAATTACACGCCCTATTTTAGGGTCATCAGCAAATTTACTTATGTTGCTGTCTACGCCGATATCTACAGTATGTCGTTTGTGTATATACTAAATAATAATAGTCCAAGTACTGAGCCTTGGGGTACTCCACTAGTGACGTTACTCCAATAGGATTTAGTGCCGTTAATGCTCACTCGCTGTTTCCTGTCCTGTAACCACGCACTAATCCATTTTAGAATATCTCTTCCAATGCCACGAGCCTCCACTTTTCTTATTAGTTTTTCGTAGAGGACTCTGTCGAAGGCTTTGCTAAAGTCAAGTTATACCACATCATAGTCCACTGATTCGAAAACAGCTGAAAAGTATGTTAATAGATTAGTTAGACATGAACTCCCTCTTGTGAAGCCATGTTGGGAATCATTGATCAACTTGTGCTTCTCCAGGTGATTTCGAATAGTTTGAAATTAATGCTTCCAGTAATTTGCCTTTAATTGATGTTAAACTAATTGGACGGTAGTTAGAGGATCGTGATCTATCTCCCTTCTTGAAAATCGGTATTACATTTGCTATTCTCCAGGATTTTGGTACTACACCCGTTTTTAAGGACATGTTAAACAAATTTGCTAATGGCAGTAGGGGTAAATAAAAAATCCCCAACGATACCGAGCTCAGAGCTTTCCACTATATTTTATTCTTATTTTCATTTATGAATAATATGAACGAATATTATAATTGTGTCGTATTGTACTAAACAAATTGTGCAGTTAATCATACTAGTTATAAACAAACCCATAATTAATTACGTTATAATATGCAAAGTGAGTCAGAAAATACCTTAATTTAAATATTTATAAAATAATGCTTAGAGCATTAGACAGTTCCTCTGAGACGTCGATATTGTGACTTACCTGAGTCGGCCAGCCCAGACATCGTTGTTGCCAATAATATCGTTATTCTCCCACAAGTAACAGTTGTGAGAACGTTAAAGATCATAGCTTTATAAAGCTGCCAACTTCAGTAGAAAGCAGCCAACTCGTCTCAACCAAAATTTTACTGCCAACTAGACAAAAAACCAGCCCAATTTGGCGATAAAACAGCAACCTTGTAACTCTGTGAACAGTGTCAGAAGCTAAAGAAGAACAAGGTTATACAGGATGTTCATAAAAGATTTGAACGATTTGATTTTTTAAAATGTTTTCCATACTCATTAAGACATAAAGCTAGAACCAGGTGTAAACGATAGAACCACCATCACAGTTTATTATTAATTTATCTTTTCCTTAAAATTTTTAAGTTTACGTATACTGTATACATAAATATTACACAGTAATATATTTGTCCGTGAAATATTTGGATGACTTTATTATTAATTGATTTGCTTGATTTCTATTGACTGATTGATTGACAACTAATTTTAGTGATCGCTGGATTGGTTCTGATGGACCAAGGTTGCCAGCATCCATGAACAACGAATGAGGGTCAGGGATGCAATAGCGAGAAATAGAATATCAATTGGATGTTGTACGGGCGACCAATGGCGCACATGTTGAAGTGTATTAAACATGCATGAAAACCTTTAACAGTTGCTCTATTGCTTTACAAAAATTTTAGTTTTATCTTAATTACTATGGAAAATATTAACGAATCAAATCGTCCAGATCTTTTATGAACACCCTGTATATACAGTTGATCTAAAGCGGTAACAACACATTGTGACCTCACACCTGACTCCTGGTAAATTTTTTGTAATATATTAGACAACCGCATATGATTATTAAAGTAGTGTTTTATTTGATTATTAATTGTAAACTTATTAAACTTCTCATTTACATCATATAATAAGTTTTAACTTATGATTTTCCTCGTTGCCAGAGGTCACTACTGTAGGTTCCGTGCAGCTGTTCACGGCTTTGGTCATAGTGTACTAGTTTTAGTGGTTGGTATAGTCGATCACAGGTCCCCCGGACAAAATTCCCAAGTTAAAGTGTGAAGTAGAAACCTTTGTTTCTCAAAGTTAGATTAAGTTTTTGTTTGAAAGGATTTTGTCTATGCTGGATTTTGTACTAAACTCACTGATATATACACACTATCTAATATGCGGATCAAATTTTCCGGCATCACTTTCGTGCAGAGAACTGCTAACATTTCAAAATGACCAATAATGTAAGTTTTCCCTGGAGATATTACATAAATGCGCATATTGTGTTTACTTAGTCTAGGTCTCTAGGAGATGTAAACAGAGAAACCAGATACCAGATGAACAACGATGTTATAGAGAAATCCGACCGTGAGAAAGATTTAGGAGTAACGATGAGTAGGAATCTTAAGCCAAGTAAATAATGTGTATTTGCTCGAAACATGGCTAATAAAGTACTTGGGTTCATGCAAAGGAGTGTTAGTTACAAGACTAGTGAGGTCATCCTAAAACTATATCTTGCGCTTGTGAGACCTCACTTGGATTGCGCAGTTCAATTCTGGTCACCGTACTACATATTGGATATAGAATCCCTAGAAAGAATTCAGAGGAGAATGACAAGACTAATCCCGGGCATTAGGAGCCTTTAGTACAGAGACAGGTTAAAGCATCTTAATTTGCACTCCCTCGAGAGACTTAAGAGTGAGGGGGCGATATGATCGAGGTGTATAAATGGAAGTCAGGGCTAAACAAAGGGGACATAACTAAAGTACTCAAACTATCCAACCAGGAGCGAACACGTAACAATGGTTTTAAATTAGACAAATTAGATTTAGGCGCGAAATAGGTAAACACTGGTTTGGAAATAGAGTAGTGGACGAGTGGAACAAGTTACCAAACATCATCATTAACTCGAATACGCTGGGTAGTTTCAAACATAGGTTGGATGAATATATGAGCATTAGGGGTTGGGTGTAAATGGGACTGCCCAGTATGGGCCAATAGGCCCGCAGCAGGTTCCTCCATTATTATGCTCTTATGTTCTGTCAATCAGACATACAACATATGGCGGCGCACTTGAGTAATATATCAAATCATCTCACATTGTTAAGACGGAAAAGGTAACGATACATTTTTGGTGGGACTGTATGTAACTCATCACACGTACAGTTGTGCCACACGAAGTAAGGAGTGGAATATTCACTGAGTAATACTGGGCGACGGGAGTAAGAAGTAACCATAGTTGGTGTCTGTTAAAGCAACAAAAGTGAAAGATGGAAGTACTGTACTCACCGGAGGAGTAGTGTGAGGTGGCGTTGGAGGGCATGAGGCCAAGGAGCTCCGGCGTCACGGTCATGCGCTGCCCGCTGGAGTCGGTGCCATCGGAAGGAAGGTGCTGTTGGTCCCCCTCATTCTTGGTGTAGGTACCGTACCCTGTGTTATAGTCAGCGGCGTGGGACGTGCCCGCGCCGTCGTCTGACGGAGACAAGCCAGGTATGACGTGTGGGGGCAAGGCCGTCTCTGGTAAATCACGAAGGAAAGAAGGGGATAAAAGTTTGGGCGTTAGTAAGCAGTGTGTACGGCAAAACACTCTGGGATCCCTAATGCGCTCATTATGACCACCACTACCGCCGAGAACGACAGCAAAAGCCACCGCTTACCAATAGCTTAGTACACAATATCCCTAAACCAACCAATGGCACCTGCAAGAAGAACTGAAGCATTTCCTTGTTAAAAGCCCAGACCAGAGCTGGTCGAGAGTACAGTATTATGAAATAAAGGCAAGCATCATAAAAGCCGTAGTTTACTCAGTCGTAAGAATATTTTTATTCAGTTACCCAATTGACACCAATATAAGCTGAGGCAATCGTTAGCTATGTAAGTATTTATTGATGTAACTGAGGTGAGACTTACGATAGCGACGCAGTGAAGAAGGCAGACGTCAGTTGGGGTAGGAGGCAAACTATGAATGTTTTGAATGTAACACCAACTACCTTCACACAAGAGACGGGGGCTGACAATACCCATGCAGTAGTCAACAGCAACGTTTCATGCTCGGGGGCCATGCACAACCTGTTCTCACCTGGCCCACGAGAGCTGGCACAGGGGCGAGGGAGGACACACTCCACCTAATACAACACACAGGCTATGAAGGGAAGAAGGAGAGGGAAAGTGGGAGGAGGTGTAACCCTCGTGGCTAACAGCATCACATACGCTACCAGCTAATGTCAGGGCTCCACAAACATACACGAGCATCCAAGCACGCGTTCGCATTACGGTATCATCTACGAGCGGAGAGTGAAGGTTGTCAAGTAGCAGTGGGAGTGTCATACGGGAGGTCAACACGGTACAACGGAGGCACACGAGTCTACAGTATAGGCAAGACAACACACTACGGAAGTCCAATGTAAATACAGCAGATACCTATCTCGTCTGTGGTAGGAGTACACTGCCACGTCATAAAACTATCTATGTAATAACTACCTGGATGCTAGAATTTTACAGCACTATTTTGCAATGTAGTGTTTGGCTGCAAAGTGCATCAAGGTGTTTGTGTTAGTTGTAGTTGTCTATGTACTGTATTTTATATATTCACTGTACTAAAGAATCGATGGTGTAAAATTTATATGAATGTGTTGCAGAATAATATGTCCACTCAATCCATGTCATAAATTATAAAAAAGTGTAGGTCTTGGTGTCTATCTTAATATTCTCTTTGTACATAATGGCTCCGGTGTTTGCATCAACATAATCAAATAATAGGTCCCAGTAACCCAAGTTGTTTGAAGACTGGGGTCCCATGTAAAACAACTAGGCTCCGTTCTACAGTAAGACAGGAAATTGAGCCATTGTTGTACTCCAAAATTAATTTTAATAAGATAATTGGTAAAATGGCTTCGGTGCCTTCAAGATGGACACAATTAAATTATTTATATATTTAGTTGAAATTTACGAGTTGCGTAAACATTGGGTGTTAAAAGTGTCACACAAACTATGGAAGGAGAAATATCTGAAGGTGGCTACAAGAGATACATTTACCATGCAGATGACTTGTGGGTCTGTTGTCTTAACACACAAGGCGATAACTATGGCAATCTATCACCTGATGTAAAGGGTGAACTGCGGCACTTATGAGTAGAATCTGCCGTTCTAGATAATTAGCAGCAGTTATGTGAAGGTGGTGGTTAGAGAAAGTGCTCACACGTCATAGTGTAAGGTGGAGGTTTATGATGAGTGTTCAAGGTGAGAGCTGCATAGCGCGTGGGTCTTGGCATGCTGTTGACAGTACTTATGTAGACAGTTTTATAAAGGTCTAACTAATGTGTTTGTGTGCTCATTTAAAAAACTAAACCAATCTACTTCATTTAGTGGAGTTTTACATGTTATGTAACTGTTACGTGCGTATGTACTTTATGATAATTAGTATTTATATCTGGTGGTGTGTGGTTGTTGACAGGTGATACTCTAGTTTAATTCCGTCTAGTACTTTTCGACAGTACTTGCTGAGTACACAGGCACGTGTGTGTACTGCTGCAAAGGGGAAGTGATTGTTGAAGTCATAGACTTGATTTGTGAATAAGTGTTACGTGGTCAATTAACCTGCTGCCCATCATCATTTGTGGTAGCTTTTATCTACGTGAGAGTCAGGCACATCTTCTCTTGAAGTCTAATACAACACACCACTTGGAGCAAGTCCAGGAAAAGGTCACTAAGACAAAGATCAGCAGAGAGGGCAAGAAGTCACTGGTGTGATTTCAAAGTTCAAGGTAGCCAGGTGTGATATAGCCTACAATCATGGAAACATAAAGATCACACTTAGTACATCAAACGTCCTCAAGGTCAGGTCAGGTCAGGTGTTGCTTCAACACTTTTGGTCAAGCTTCTCGTATATGCGTCATTATTGTAGTCAATAAGACGCCATATAGAAACAGCAAGACTCGGGATGAGATTTAAAAAAAAAATCGTTTGTAGCTATTGTAAGTTGAACGTCTTTCAACATATACTGGAAATGGCTTGGAGTAGGAAGGTCATGGGAGTTGACCAGAGTTATATAGGTAGTTAAATGGTCAATCGACGGGCACTCTCAATGCTAGAAAGTCACTAAAGAGGGTTAGAGTTCACACAGGTACAGTCCGCTTCACCAGTGCGTTTATAGGGGCTCGTCAGGTTTTGTGCAGTGTGGCAGCCCTGTTTGTTTACATTCGACAGAAGGAAACTCGCAATAGTAAACATACTATGGAATCAAATTAAAACAATATTAAATATCTCAAAGATATGATTTGTGGAATGTTTATATGACGAGCCCCTGTAAACGCACCAGTGAAGGGGAGTGTACGTCACTCGTCACTACCACCAGTCGTCAGGAGAGGCCCCTCTGGAGGTTTTCTCTCGATTTCACGAGGCCAGAACCAAGAGTGTGACATGCGCACGTAAGGCATCATACACAGAGGGTTAATAATTAATTTTCTACAAGTTGAGACATATCTGGAGGTAAGAGGCAGAACCAGAGAAGGATAAGGCAGTGATGTCGTCGTCAGTACATACTGTACAGCTGAAGTCCTGTAAAACGTGTGCAGCAGCTGGCAGTGTTACAGTGGCATGGGGAAGTATTGTAGTGTGTGTGGTTGGCGTGTGAAGCCTGGGTGGCGAATGTGAGCTAGCGTATGTATGAGTGTTGGTTAGTGTTGCCATAGCAGTAGAAGCAGCTAGGTACAAGACGGCTGATGACCTTCACAAGTAATGTTAGGGAGGCACAACAGCAACATGGTGGAGGGCTACACACAGCAACTAGAGAGAGCTTGAGGGCGTTGTACTACAAGGTTATAACAACAGAGAGCAATATGACGCAAGGGATGTATGGACTACTGGCGTGGGCGTGTGGGCGTGCGCGACGTATTGGTGTTACCTGGTTGTGGGAGGCCGACCGACGGGCCCAGCTCCGGCAGGGGGGGCGGGGCGTGCGCTGCAGGGGGGTGCGCCTGAGAGGGGTGGACAGCCTGTGGAGGAGGGGCGTGGTGGGCGTGGGCGGCGGGCGGCGCGTGGCTGGCTGAGGGTGCGGGCGGCGCCCCGCCTACAGTGAACCACCACATAGCACAACATTACTACTGCAGGACCGGCAACTTTCACGCGCTAGTACTAGTAGGTTCCTTAACCTAGACTCCTGACGCAGGGCGTGTGGCGAGGCAGAAGGGCTCGTGGAGAGATTCCCCAAAGCTGGGGAGGGTGGGAGGCGTGTGGCAGCAAAGGGCGTGTGACGGAAGTGAGAGGGAAGATAGGCAACAAGTTGGGGAACATGTATCAGGTGTGAGGGAGTGAGGTGGGCCAGGGCTGGGATGTGGCCAAGCAAAGGGCAGGGGTAGTAGGACAAAACATTTACTTGTAGAAGGATACTGTAAGATGTGGCGGGTCAGGCAGGAGGGGCGTGGGTAGTGGTGTTTGGGAGGCAGGAGGGGCGTGGGTAGTGGTGTTTGGGAGGCAGGAGGGGCGTGGGTAGTGGTGTTTGGGAGGCAGGAGGGGCGTGGGCAGTGGGGAGTGGGTAGTGGTGTTTGGGAGGCAGGAGGGGCGTGGGTAGTGGTGTTTGGGAGGCAGGAGGGCGTGGGCAGTGGTGTTTGGGAGGCAGGAGGGGCGTGGGTAGTGGTGGGGAGGCAGGAGGGCGTGGGTAGTGGTGTTTGGGAGGCAGGAGGGCGTGGGTAGTGGTGTTTGGGAGGCAGGAGGGTGGGAGTGGTGTTTGGGAGGCAGGAGGGGTGGGTGGTGGTGTTTGGGAGGTAGGAGGGCGTGGGTAGTGGTGTTTGGAGGGCAGGAGGGCAGGAGGGCGTGGGTAGTGGTGTTTGGGAGGCAGGAGGGGCGTGGGTAGTGGTGTTTGGGAGGCAGGAGGGGCGTGGGTGGTTTGGGGGGCAGGAGGGCGTGGGTAGTGGTGTTTGGGGGCAGGAGGGGCGTGGGTAGTGGTGTTTGGGAGGCAGGAGGGGCGTGGGTAGTGGTGTTTGGGGGCAGGAGGGGCGTGGTAGTGGTGTTTGGGAGGCAGGAGGGCGTGGGTAGTGGTGTTTGGGAGGCAGGAGGGGCGTGGGCAGTGGTATTTGGGAGGCAGGAGGGCGTGGGTAGTGATGTTTGGGAGGCAGGAGGGCGTGGGTAGTGGTGTTTGGGGGGCAGGTGGGGCGTGGGTAGTGGTATTTGGGAGGCAGGAGGGGCGTGGGTAGTGGTATTTGGGAGGCAGGAGGGCGTGGGTAGTGGTGTTTGGTAGGATACATGATGGGTGGTGTGGCGGGTCAGGCAGGGGGGGCATGGTAGGTGGTGTAGTGGGGGCAAGGAAGGGGGCATGGTAGGTGGAGTGACAGGGAAGGCGAGGTGCATGGTACTGTAGGTGGTGTGGCGGGGCAGGCAAGGGGGCATGGTAGGTGGTGTGGCGGGGGAGGCATCAGACAGAAGGATGAGGGTACATGGGAGCATGGAAGGTGTTACAGCCAAGACGGAAAACAAAGAGTGGCGACAACACACCCGTAATCTGGTGTACACTAAGATTAATTATAACAAGTGCACCTATTCCCCGCCCCCTTCTCTCAATCTCTCTCTTTCATACAGTGAGTGTGAGTGTGTGTGTGTGTGTGTCATAATCGGGTAACACCTACCAAAAGAAGGACTAGAACACAAGCAATGTCCTTGTCAAACCACTCACAATGTGAACAAAATGCGCTTCACATTAGCCTGAGGTCAACAGTACTACCTACTAACACAAAATTAATAACCTTTTATTGACCTAAGGAGCGGAATTTGATACTGGTGAACGTGTGACTTCAAAGTGGGCGTGAAGGTCGTAATAGTGTTATAATTATGGGCGTAGTAAATGGTTGTTCTGGGTGGACGTCTTAGTCACGGAGGGCGTGTAGTGGGAGGATGGGAGCTGGCGACGTGTCTCAGCTTGGCGAGTCATACTGGAGGACACAGGAACCTGTGCGTGCGTGGACGCTTTAATCATCAATAATCAGTTGTTGGGTGGTGCCAGAATGTATAAATATGTAAATGAAGTAATTTTAGAAAGGAAATAAAGTTACAAATGCAATACAAACGAATGTGGAAAATGTGCGAATCTGATGAATGCAAAAAAAGTAATAACTAACTTGCTAGATTAGTAATGTATTTGACGTGCAGTGAATATACTTATGTCAGATGCAAAATATTGACGGAAGCGAGCTATTGAAAATGACCGTGCATTTGGGCCGCCACAGGTGTCCTGGCCTGTAGGCTACACGTGTGTGCATCAGAGCATGAGCAAACGCAGCTGATAGACGTTGCAAGTGTGTGGTGGGATAGGGGCGGGGCCTTGGGGAGCGGGTGTGTGTACTTGTTTGTGTGAGTGGAAAGGTTTGTGTTGGTATGGATTCATTGTGATGTGTAATCTCTCTCTCTCTCTCTCTCTCTCTCTCTCTCTCTCTCTCTCTCTCATACAGGGGTATACTTTGAAAAGTTTCGCAACCACCAAAAATTTAAGGAAATACTGAAGGTTTATTTATTTTTTATGGAACAACTACCTTCCTTAGCTATATACTTTTGTAAATTATAGATGGACAACAGCAGGGCCCAGTTATACATCCAGTTTTTGTTACATCAAAAATATATATTTCCGAATAATCTACGATGTATTTCAACTCCTGATACAAATGAAAGAATATTGTGGGTGTAAAGTGGCTCTCCCTGTAGGTGCCTGTGAGCGAGGTGTAGAGGCCACACGCCGCCACCTCACTCACACCTTCATACACCATCACCTCACTTAAGGGAAGACATCGCTCACTGAATACAATAACTAAATTTTTAAAGTAACTTAGGATTCTAGGGCAGTAAGATGTGTGGGTGAAGGGTCATCTGTTTACATACTAACATTATTGATCAAGGACTGACAATATCAACTGATAACACCATGCCTTCACCACCAGTCTATTATCAACACCCAGCTAACCTACACACACTCCTCTCACCCTCATACTATTGTTTATCATGGCTTTACTTGAAAAACAAATATTGTTATTTGTACTGCCCTCAACGGTGTATTACCTTAACGTATGACACAGTGGAACTATAGCAGACGATAGTAGGCTCGCCTTCTGCCAGTACAGGCGCTCGTCTGTGGTACGAGATTTGTTTATCGTCTACAATATAGTAATTATAATTTATTAGAATCAATAAGTGTTTATTACTTAACTGTTCACACCTGTACCTTTACCAGGTCCTGACACAACACTCACAACTATGTCAATTCTTTCAATAGTTGTTTGAAGTGGTGTAGTTTTGTCTTCAAATGATCATTCACCTTATAATTTGTAACAATACACAACGGTGTCCGCCCGCTAAAGTTGTTGCAATCAATTGTATATGTAAAGTTAACTGTCCATATATGTATTGACATACTGGAGGGGAAGGAGTTCTCGTTCCATTCTGAGGTGCACCTTCATTCATTACTTTACTGGTAGCAGGAATTTATTCCCAATCTCCTCTTACTCCACAAAGTAAGTGGCGGAAACTCCAGTACTGTCACGGAGACCCAGTGTACCATTATCATTAACTCTACACAGGACACAGTTGCTTCATGTCTGTCCTGGGCAGCACCCACCTACACTATAGCCACTTTAATTGGTACATGAACTTTGTGTTTGCTTCAGGTGCTGTAATCTCTGGGTCACAATGATTGACCTCGTCTAACCTTAATTACCACAAGAGACACAATTGAGAAAAAAAAAAGCGAGTACGCACACTAAACACTCACAAGTACAGTATTCATACCCATTTACACACACACACACACACACACACACACACACACACACACACACATATATTCACACCCATTAACACAAATACATCGAATTAAATAAAGCGTAACTTCTTTAGTGACGGAAGACCACGACAGGCGGCACCAACACTCGCCAGACACAGTGAATAGCAACAATGGTGGAGGAAGTCAACGAGAGTAGAGAACCACAAGTGGGTGACAACAATGACACAGCAACACACGGAGAGGAAATAAGACACTAGCTAGAGGGTCTGATTCTAACACTAGCTAGAGGGTCTGATTCTAACACTAGCTAGAGGGTCTGATTCTAACACTAGCTAGAGGGTCTGATTCTAACACTAGCTAGAGGGTCTGATTCTAACACTAGCTAGAGGGTCTGATTCTAAACTAGCTAGAGGGTCTGGTCTAACACTAGCTAGAGGTCTGATTCTAACACTAGCTAGAGGTCTGATTCTAGCTAGGGTCTGATTCTAACACTAGCTAGAGGGTCTGAAGTTCTAACACTAGCTTCAGAGGGTCTGATTCTAACATAGCTAGAGGTCTGATTCTAACACTAGCTAGAGGTCTGATTCTATCACTAGCTAGGGGTCTGATTCTAACACTGCTTGAGGTCTGATTCTAACACCTAGCTAGAGGTCTGATTCTAACACTAGCTAGAGGTCTGATTCTAACACTAGCTAGAGTCTGATTCTAACACTAGCTAGAGGGTCTGATTCTAACACTAGCTAGAGGGTCTGGTCTAACATAGCTAGAGGTCTGAGATTCCTAGCACTAGCTAGGGTCTGATTCTAACACTAGCTAGAGGGTCTGATTCTAACACTAGCTAGAGAGTCTGATTCTAACACTAGCTAGAGGGTCTGATTCTAACACGAGCTAGAGGGTCTGATTCTATCACGAGCTAGAGGGTCTGATTCTATCACTAGCTAGAGGGTCTGATTCTAACACTAGCTTGAGGGTCTGATTCTAACACTAGCTAGAGGGTCTGATTCTAACACTAGCTAGAGGGTCTGATTCTAACACTAGCTAGAGGGTCTGATTCTAACACTAGCTAGAGGGTCTGATTCTAACACTAGCTAGAGGGTCTGATTCTAACACTAGCTAGAGGGTCTGATTCTAACACTAGCTAGAGGGTCTGATTCTAACACTAGCTAGAGGGTCTGATTCTAACACTAGCTAGAGGGTCTGATTCTAACACTAGCTAGAGGGTCTGATTCTATCACTAGCTAGAGGGTCTGATTCTAACACTAGCTAGAGGGTCTGATTCTAACACTAGCTAGAGGGTCTGATTCTAACACTAGCTAGAGGGTCTGATTCTAACACTAGCTAGAGGGTCTGATTCTAACACTAGCTAGAGGGTCTGATTCTAACACTAGCTAGAGGGTCTGATTCTAACACTAGCTAGAGGGTCTGATTCTAACACTAGCTAGAGGGTCTGATTCTAACACTAGCTTGAGGGTCTGATTCTAACACTAGCTAGAGGGTCTGATTCTAACACTAGCTAGAGGGTCTGATTTTTTTATAACACGTAGCACTAGTTAGGTCTGATTATAACACGTAGCGCTAACTTGAGGGTTTGATTAAAACACAAGACCTATAACACTAACCTGAGGGAGACGTGATAATATAATACCAATGGTGCAGGAACAAACTTTTAGCGAAGTTAAAGGATTTTTTGCTAGGCTAAAACACTACCTGTATGTACGAGTAAAACAGAATTGACATCATGTGAAGATTTAGACACCCTAGCCTATTATACGTAATGATTAAGTACCCTAACAGCTAACCTAACCTAATCAAATCTAGCTTAACCTAACTTAACCCTTCCCTTAGGTAACGTCGGGATGTTTCATCATCAGGTGTAACAAGCTGGAGTGTGTAATCTTCACGTGATCCCAAACATCTTATGTAAGGTGTTTCTGGTGAAGAGTCGCCGTCTTGTAAACACTGACCTCATGACGGCCACAGTATTGTGTAGTTTCTTTTCAAAACAGGCAAAATAAACCAAACATACATACCTAACTAGTATGGTATAGCTGACCTCACGTCGTCTGTCACTATAAATAGATTCACTTTGTACTCGTCTCCGAGAGCTTGACACATGGCATGGCAGAATAAGAAGGGAGAAAATAACTTTTCAACTTCAGAATAAAGTTACCCGAGTGCTGCAGCTTCGTAAACGTCCATCAAAATGTATCTAATTTTTCTTTGACACACACTATTATACCATTGTACTTTTCTTCAACTGAGCTTGTATTAACGCATGATTCCTACCTCAAAACGGTATACAAAATGTATACCTAAAAATTATCGCATTGAATCTTGTCTGTAATTGGGTTTTTGAAACGAAAAAGGTAAAAACGTGAAACTTAAGCTACGAGTCATAGGGGCACGCTATTCTGTGCCGCCAGGAGACAAATAGCGTACATCCGTCAGCAGTGTAGATGAACCCTGGCAGGTGGAGGGGGGGGGGGTGGGGTTAGCGTCAAGAATGAGAATGGCACACACTTGTTATGTTTCCTCGCCACGAGTGAGGATCATTACTCAGTATTCCACGAGTATTCGTATAGTTTTGTTATTCAGTGTCAGCCAAGACCGGAGTGTACAGAACGCGAGCAAATAAACACAGCAAGGAAAACTACCCGTAGCCGCGCCTCTTCGGTCAGGAGAGGAAGAAAATGAAGTGTGAGGAGGTCGAGGGAGGGGGGAGTGAATGTGACTACTTCTTTGAACATAACGTTACACCCTCCAGCAGTGTTCACCCGTGGTCCTGGTGGAGGGCAACTAATAAATTATTTTACCGCCGTTAGTATACTGTTCCACCAATAAGTACTGGAAGCGAGGAAGTTATCACGAACTTTCTGTAGAATGTTAGTGGATGGTGGATAAAAATAACCAAGTGAAGAATTATTATAATGGTGATTAATTAATTTGTTCCACATACGAGAGCACAGTATGACCGCGAAAGTTAGCACGATGAAAAGCATAAAAGTATTAAAATAAAGAAAATCTTCTGAACAATAAAGTTAACGTAAGGATAACAACAGACGACGACGGGCTCAGGCACTACCTAACACGACTGTAGTGCATGTTAACGTGTGAAGACTAAGATTATGAGGCGCTTTTCAATAATGCAAAGAAAAAAAAACACGGGCGACTCTTACCAAAACTAAACCCTTGAACCAAGTGATTTTTATAGTAGACTTAGTACACGATTCGCGTATACAGTAGCTAATGGAAGCAGGATTCAGTCAGTACATTAATTCTGGAAATATAGTGTAGGAGACATCTGTAAATTTGGTTTGTGATAAGATGGTGCAAGTGTCTGGGGCTGTGAACATGGCAACTATTGTGTGGAAATCCTTCGCGTTCACAAAGATGGTTGGGAACGTGTCAAGAAGACGACCAAAACACATCTTGAGAACAGTGTGAGTAATGTCTCTCAACGTGCTCGATATGTGTATAAAACGCGATCAAAACACCCAGGTGATAGACTGAGAGGATTTTTGAGCTAGTGTGTGTATAACGTGTCGAAAACGTGTTGGGGAGGGGGGAGGGGGGTTGACAACCTAGCAGGAACATGTGGAGAGCCTACGGTGAGGGGGTCGGGGAGACAAGACAGGAAGCTGACGTACCGTTGTGGACGTAGTGTGGGTGCGACGGTCGTTGCTGCGCCGCTGAGGCCTCCCCATCCTCATTACCAGTACCGTGGGTGTCCTCCTCCCCGCTCTCTAACTTGATGCGTTTGCTGGAACTCTGGTATATGTGGACGGAAGGGATGGAGAGGGGGGGTAGGAGGCGCCGGGGAGAAAGGAAGAAAAACAAAATACCCAAGAAGCCAGAGGAATGAAAAAGCGATGAGGGAAACAAGACCAAAACAAACACACATCCAGTTGACAAGGGTTTAGGATCACGTTAGTAGTTTGGAATGGGTCCAGATAATAAACGAGCGATAACAGGCGAGTGGTTTTAAACAGGTAGGGCAAAAACCAATCGAAAAAGGTGTAAAACAGCAGGTGATTAGTTGAGAACCGAAACAAGTAAGAATTATATATAGAACATGAAAACCAGACAAAGGTTATAGAAAACATAGGGAAACAGATGTACGTTAGAAACCGGATGAAGGAGGAAGAGAACAGGCGATAAAAACCAGGTGAAGGAGGTAGAACAGGTGATATAAACCAGGTGAAGGAGGTAGAACAGGTGATGTAAACCAGGTGAAGGAGGTAGGACAGGTGATGTAAACCAGGTGAAGGAGGTAGAACAGGTGATGTAAACCAGGTGAAGGAGGTAGAACAGGTGATGTAAACCAGGTGAAGGAGGTAGAACAGGTGATGTAAACCAGGTGAAGGAGGTAGAACAGGTGATATAAACCAAGTGAAGGAGGTAGAACAGGTGATATAAAACCAGGTGAAGGAAGTAGAACAGGCGATATAAACCAGGTGGAGGAGGTAGAACAGGTGATAAAACCAGGTGAAGGAGGTAGAACAGGTGATATAAACCAGGTGAAGGAGGTGGAGAACAGGTGATGCAAACCAGGTGAAGGGAGGTATGTTTGCGGTGATATAAACCAGGTGAAGGGAGGTAGAAACAGGTGATAGAAACCAGGTGAAGGAGGTAGAACAGGTGATATAAACCAGGTGAAGAAGGTAGAACAGGCGATATAAACCAGGTGAAGGAGGTAGAACAGGCAGATAGAAACTAGGTGAAAGGAGGTAGAACAGGTGATAGAAACCTGTGTGAAGGGGAGGTAGGAACAGGTGATATAAAACCAGAAGGAGGTAGAACAGGCACAAACCAGAGGAAGGAGGTAGAATAGGCACAAACCAGGTGAAGGAGGTAGAACAGGTGACAAACCAGATGAAGGAGGTAGAATAGGTGACAAACCAGATGAAGGAGGTAGAATAGGTGACAAACCAGGTGAAGGAGGTAGAACAGGTGATATAAAAACCAGGTGAAGGAGGTAGAACAGGTGATGTAAACCAGGTGAAGGAGGTAGAACAGGTGATATAAACCAGGTGAAGGAGGTAGAACAGGTGATAGAAACCAGGTGAAGGAGGTAGAACAGGTGATATAAACCAGGTGAAGAAGGTAGAACAGGCGATATAAACCAGGTGAAGGAGGTAGAACAGGTGATAGAAACCAGGTGAAGGAGGTAGAACAGGTGATAGAAACCAGGTGAAGGAGGTAGAACAGGTGATATAAACCAGGTGGAGGAGGTTAGAACAGGTGACCAACCAGATGAAGGAGGTAGAACAGGTGACAAACCAGGTGAAGGAGGTAGAACAGGTGACAAACCAGATGAAGGAGGTAGAATAGGTGACAAACCAGATGAAGGAAGTAGAACAGGTGAAGGAGGCAAGGTCAAGTTTAGTCGAAGAAATGGGTGATGAAATAAGGGGTAAGACACAATACAAACACGAGGAATAATTCAGAAATAAGGACAAATTAAGGTTGCATCAGAGACGGTGGTAACAGGATATGAAAGGTGACGAAACAAGGAAGTGCAAGTTGAGAGAAACAGCCGTTGGTAGCCAGAAGGTGGAGATAGGTGGATGGAGATTATGTAGAAAAGGCGAATTTTTGGCATCAGGACACACGTGTGTGTGTGTGTGTGTGTGTTTTACGAAGAAAAGCAGATATAGGGTAAGGGTTACGAGGAATACAACAGATGCATTGTGTCGATACCCGAGAATAAGAGATAGTCATGCGGCAGTACAAGGAAAGGAGGAGATAGTGGAGAAAAAAGAAGAGAAAACATTTTAGTATAAAAATGATTTTGTGATCAAACACTAAATTTAGAATATTTAACTCGATATTATTTGCCAAAGTTCTGTGATACACTGACAAAATTCTGCCCCCACACCTTAACGTAGACGTACAGTACTGTAATCAGCAACCCGTTGGGTGCCTTATTGCAACTATTGAGAATAGAATTGCTGAAACAAGATCAACAGCTACGTGTATGGGTAATGTGGGCAGCAAGAACCAACAGCCATATGTTTACTGTGAAGTGAGTATATGACAGTTGTTTCCTGAGTTAGTATTAATAAAGCAATTGTAACTCACGGGATGGTCGTGATCTCCACGGCGGGAGGCGGGTGTGGCGGTGGATGGCCGTTCATACCGATGTCTGCCATACAGGGGTGGGCGGCCACGAGGTCGATAAGATGTGTTGTAGCGGCCGCGAGTGTATGGTAGGCGGCCTCGCGTGGGCGTTTGGGAGGTAGAAGCATGGCGTGAAGCGGCAGTGGAGGGCGTGGCGGTAAAGCCAGGAGGTACGTGTGTGGGGTCGTCGCCCACCTCACACAGACCCTTGATCTTGAGTGTGTCGGCGGCCGCTAGGAGGGAGTTGATCTGTTCCTGAGCCACGTCGATCTCCCCGCGGTAGACGAACTCGATGATGGCACGCAAATCAGCGAAGGCCACGTCCCGCGGCAGGATGACGATGGGGTGTTTACATGGGTTGTTCTGCAGGACTGCCTGGAAGTACGGAGAACACGCCGCCAGCACCACCTTGTGAGCCCGCAGCTGCTGTCCCCCTTCGCATGACAGCGTCACGTCCACGAACACCTGGAACACCACCACAACAACAACGCGTTACAAACGGGTGTACTGCCGAGGGGCACACTTGATATTACTGCACAACACTATACAACAAAAACTACTGTGCAGGAAGAGGAAGAAATGGAAACAGGGTGCATCACTATATTAAATACCCATGAAAGGTCGAGAGAAGATAACCAAAATATGTCTGAGAAGTACAGTACTAGTATGTACAGCAAAGGGCGGGACCAGAAACAGTGTACATCAACATTATAACTAAGGGCAGAATAGGAAGCGTGCACATTAACGTATCAGAGACTTATGAATAGTCGAGGGAGGGAGGGAGGGATCAGTCATCACGCTACTATACTGGCAGCTAGGTAAAGTGGCACTCTGGCACAACACAGCAGCGAGATGGCATAAAGAGGTCAAGTTCATTACATAAACACCAAGAAGTAAAAAAAAAAAGAAGAGAGAAGATGGTGCAACAGTAGGAGGAGAATGTGATTAACAGCTGAGGAATCATTAATAACACGAGGGAGTGGGATAATGAAGGTTTCGCTAATAATAATAGAAGAGGGTTCTGGGCATCACCATAAACTGTTTACTACAAGACGAAAATAGAACTTAAAACACACTTATAAAGATAAGGTTAAGGATATTAAGACAGACACTCACCTCCTCCTGCAGTAACTGGTCGAACACCGCCGTCATGTTCGTCTGGTAGTTGTTCCAACGCAAACAGAAATGATCGGCGGCGGCGGCGGCCACGGCGGCGGCCCCGCCACCGCCGCCTCCTGCCGCAGGCGGCGTCCCCGACATTACCAACTGCAACAGTAAACAAACAAACGTGTGTCATCAAGACAAATACTTTTAAATACGATAAGTGTTTTCCCGTTTAATACACGATAACAGGACCCTGAAATAAGTACACACATTCTCCCTGCAGTTATTCAATACTTCTTTCTGGTATAATATACAACACTATCTCTTGTAGTTGTTATATCCGTAAACGCATAACAACGTGATCACATCTTAGGTAAAAATATCTTCAAACCACTAGCACACGCCTCCTACACCAGCTGGTACACCCGGTAACAGCACACATTACGCTATGAACAATTTTGAGTCGGGTAATTTAATGTCTCATTCTCTTTAATATTAAACTTCGCTACCCTCCGCTATAAAGATATACATCACACTCTCTCGCTACCTCATACTAAAAACAGTGTCATTAACTTTAATCTCAGCTTCTGTCTTTCCTGATCTAATATATAAGTCTGAGAATAATACAGACCTCACCACCATCCAGTATACTTAAGACCACGTAACTCAAGGTAATGCATTCACAACTCGTGGACGACAGACAAACGGACACTAAGTCACAGGATGAAGTTTCTTGATGAACCGACGTTAAAAGGCAAGAGCCACTATGCCTAATCCGACGTATACTAAACTGGGACACATGAGCAAGCACCGAGAAAGGCAAGAGCCACTACCTGTCTTGCCAGTGTCACACATAATCCAGTCACACATCCAAAGATCACTAACACAGTGTCACACACATCCAACAACACACACACACACACACACACACACACAGTCACATATCCAACAACAGCACACACACACAGTGTCACACATCTCACACATCCAACAACACACACACACACACACAGTGTCACACATCCAACAGCACACACACACACACAGTGTCACACATCCAACAGCACACACACACACACACACACAGTCACACATAAATTAAACTGGGTGTCACACATCCAACAGCACACACACACAGTGTCACACATCCACAGCACACACACACACAGGTCACACATCCACAGAGCACACACAGCCATTTTTGTAACACAATAAAATCAAGTTTGAGCTTTTCCCCCATCTAATATTATATTACATCACCCATGTTACGGTATAATATTTGTAATCTGTGTAACATTTTTCACGCTGCCGCTTCTTCACCGTTAATTATTATTACATCCAACAGCACACACACACACACACACACAGTCACACATCCAACAGCACACACACACACACACATGTCCAACACACACACACACACACACACACACAGTCACACATCCAACAGCACACACACACACACACACACAGTGTCACACACATCCAACAGCACACACACACAGTCACACATCCAACAGCACACACACACACAGAGTGTCACACATCCAAGACACACACACACACACAGTGTCACACATCCAACAGCACACACACACACACACACACAGTCACACATCCAACAGCACACACACACACACACACACACACACACACAGTGTCACACATCCAACAGCACACACACACACACAGTGTCACACACAACACACACACACACACAGTCACACATCCAACAGCACACACACACAGTGTCACACATCCAACAGCACACACACACACACACAGTGTCACACATCCAACAGCACACACACACACACAGTCACACATCCAACAGCACACACACACACACACACACACACACACATCCAACAGCACACACACACACACAGTGTCACACATCCAACAGCACACACACACACACAGTGTCACACATCCAACAGCACACACACACACACACAGTCACACATCCAACAGCACACACACATACACACAGTGTCACACACCAACACACACACACACACACAGTGTCACACATCCAACAGCACACACACACACACACAGTCACACATCCAACAGCACACACACACACACACACAGTGTCACACATCCAACAGCACAGCACACACACACACACAGCACACACACACACACAGTCCAACAGCACACACACACACACAGTCACACATCCACAGCGCAGCACACACACACACACACAGTGTCACACATCCAACAACACACACACACACACAGTCACACACAACACACACACACAGTGTCACACATCACACACCAACAGCACACACACACACACACACACACACACACACACACACACACACACACACACACACACACACACACACACACACACACACACATTGTAAAAATTATCAATAACATGTCACAATCAGTGTACACACAGTAAACACACTGCCCTCACACTGTCACTATAAGTAGCTGAAATTGTAGCTTTGAGCTTGATCCTCATCTAAGTTGATTTATTTGTGTCCTTATGTCACTTGTGTATTATTTGTAATTGTAACCCATTCCCCCAAATATGTACTGTATATTTTCAGCCTTCTGGCTGCTTCAATAAACTGTTAATTACATATTACACACACAGTCACACATCCAACAGGCGAGCAAGCAAGTGCACGCACACACACACACACACACACACACACTGTATCACCCATCCAACAGCACACACACACACAGTGCAAGTCACACATCCAATAGCACGAGGCAAGCGCACGCACACACACACACACACACACACACACACACACACACACACACACACATCCAACAGCACACACACACACATCATCACCCATCCAACAGCGCACACACACACAATGTCACCCAGCACAGAGCACACACACAGACACACACACACACACAGTGTCACACATCCAACTGCACGCGCTCACACACACACACACACACACACACACACACACACACACATTACACACACAGCCGCACATCCACAGCACACACACACACACACACAGTGCCACCCATCTAACAGCACACACACACACACCCATCCAACAGCACACACACACACACACACACACACACACAACACAGTGTCACACATCCAACAGCACACACACACACAGTGCACACACACACACACACACACACACACACACACACACACACACACACACACACACACACACACACACAGTGCACACACACATCCAACAACAGCACACACACACACACATGTCACCCATCACACATCCAACAGCACACACACACACACAGACACACACACACACACACAAAAGCCACATCCAACAGCACACACACACACAGTGTCACACATCCACACAGCACAGGCACACACAGTGTGTCACACATCCAACAGCACACACACACACACACACAATCACCCATAATCACACATCCAACAGCACACACACACACAGTGTCAACACATCACACACAGACACACACACACACACAGTGTCACACATCCAAGCACGCGCACACACACACACACACACACACACACACACACACACACAGTGTCACACACCAACAGCACACACACACACACAGTGTCACACATCCAACAGCACACACACACACACACAGTCACACATCCAACAGCACACACACACAGTGTCACACATCCAACACCAACACACACACACACACACACACAGTGTCACACATCCAACACACACACACACACAGTGTCCACACATCACACAGCACACACACACACACACACACAGTGTCACACATCACACACAGTCACACATCCAACAGCACACACACACACAGTGTCACACATCAACAAACACACACACACACACACAGTGTCACCCATCCAACAGCACACACACACACACACAACACACACACACACACACAGTGTCACACACACACACACACACACACACACACACACACACACACACACACACACACACACACACACACACACACACACAGTGTCACACATCCAACAGCACACACACACACACAGTGTCACACATCCAACAGCACACACACACACACAGTGTCACACATCCAACAGCACACACACACACACAGTGTCACACATCCAACAGCACACACACACACACACACACAGTGTCACCCATCCAACAGCACACACACACAGTGTCACACATCCAACAGCACACACACACACACACACACATATATATATATATCAATAAATGTTAATACATCCTGCTGAAACTGACACTTTGGGAAGGGAAGGTGAATGTGACAGCTGTGTGTGATGGGTGCCTTCATTTATGTGTGTGCGTTTATTCATTTCCATCCATGTAGTATGTATCTTCATTTATTTGTGTGTGCGCGTGCGTGCGCATTCATTTCCATCCACGTATGTGCTTTCATTTTTGTGCGCGCATGAGCGCGTGTGCATTCATTTCTATCAAAATATGTGCCTTTATTTGTTTTTGTGCGCGTGAGCATGCATTCATTTCTGTATGTGACTTCACTTCTGAGCGTGTGTGTGTGTGCTCGCTAATATCTTATTCAAGCATCTGTACGCGGGTCTGTGTTACAGCATATTACCCCGTGTCTATAACCAAAAAATTAACTTGGTTTAAGTCGTGATAATGCGAGTGTAAGTATCACATTAAGGTGTGATAGGCGGCAGCAAGATCACCGCCACACAAAACCATTAGTACTAATAAGCTTACAGTCCTAGCCCCCCCCCCTTCTTCTCTTGCTCTACTCAACCCCGACACATCCATTCACTCCCCGACCTCTCTTGGCACCACTTGTAACACACACACACACACCCTTTTGCACGTCTTGTTAATTCGACTATCTCTGTATCTGCGATCTTTGTTCCTCGCCTACTTTCGTGTGAGGTGGATCAATGAGGTACAGAAAGGTGAGAAGAGAGGGAGGGGAGGGGAGGGGGGAGATAATAGTGAGCATGGTGCAACACAAGTGTGGCAACTGGCAGGAAGAGACAACACCTAAATTATCCACACATACTTCGTCATATCCTTCAACTTCAAGACGCAATGCACATAATAAATCTTAACATCCACATTGGTTCGTAAAGGTTCACTGTGCATACTGAGTAGAAGAGGTCGACAGAGTGTTCGTTCATGTTCCCACCACATGTGAAACTAGTACAGTAAATTTATAAAGCTTATATTGAAGATTATCTCTACCATCTCATTCCACCGTAAGCTTAATCACCCTAATGCTAGGTTAACTTAATCTAACCTTACCTAATCCCAGATAGCGCTTGGGTGCTTAATCAAGTGAAGGAAGCTGGGGTGGCTAATTTGCATATGATCGTCTTTGAGCACCGAGGTGGAAGGTACCACGTGGAAAATGAATAATTTCCAAAAAGTACATTGAATGATGGCTGTTTAGTGAATGGTACTAAGAGTGTGGAAGGTGAGGTGTGAATGATTAGTCAACCAGTGAATGGTAGTAAGTGTGTAGTAGATGTGTGAATGTTGGTTAAACCTGATAACGGTGGTGAGTGTGTAATCGAGGTGACAATATTGGTCCACCAGATAGTGAAACTGTAAGAAACTTGTACGAAAGATTTCCAAACGGGAGTAAGAACAAACACACCAATTACTACTACCCTTTATTTAGCCTTCTTCTTACACTTATAACTGACGACATTATTAGTGAATCTCTCTCTCTCTCTCTCTCTCTCTCTCTCTCTAATGCACACAAGATATAATGAAAGCTCGACTCAAAACACTCCGACGATTTTTTTCCCTCGTAACTGGGGATCAAAGCACTTGTCCAGTTATGGTTAGAGGCTTAGTACATTTTCAACGTCATTTTGGTTGTCAACTTTATGTCAAGGTTTAAGTGAGCCAGTTTACAGGTGCTCTCACGGCGCAGGTGTAATGTTAAAGTGAGAATAATTGATGAAGATGTGGATGGTACGAGTTTTTCCAAATGACCTGACAACCAGAACTAGGGTGGCGGGGTGTAGGAGGTGGTTGGTGTCTGTTTAATGTGAGTATGTTGTGGATCTTGAACTATTGTAGCGACCATTATTATTATTTAACGACAACTTGGTGAAATATTCTTGTGTAAATTTCGTAATATTCTGTTGTCGTGTGTTATGCTGAATTTACACGTGTGTGTGTGAGAGGGAGAGATATGGACGGGTGTAGTGGGGGAGGCAGGTGATGATGGGGAGGAATCATCCGTCCAAGGAGACGTGTCAACAGTGCATGATACGATTCACTTCATGATACTCCCAACTCCACACAACAACTAACACACTACTGTACTTTATACAAGTTGGACTCATCTTCTACCACAGCATATTTACAAACAGCAAGATGTATAAACTGATGAGTCTTTCAGAGTTTGTATCTAAAACTCAGTCTTCAAATTGACTGAATAACGCTATAGAAGCATACATCTTAAATGTGAGAAATAAGACCTCCAGAGTATATATATATATATACAGTATATATATATATATATATATATATATATATATATATATATATATATATATATATATATATATATATATATATATGTATATATATGTATATATATGTATATGTATATGTATATATGTATATATATGTGTATATATATGTATATATATGTGTATATATATATATGTGTGTATATATATATATATATATATATATATGTATATGTATATATGTATATGTATATATATATATATGTATATGTATATGTATATGTATATATATATATATATATATATGTATATGTATATATATATATGTATATATATATATATATATATATATATATATATATATATATATATATATAATTCTCCTCAGGCAGGTATAACATGGTACTAAATATATCTATATGGATGCCATGAAACTGTATATACAGTACTTGGTATGCTGTACACATTAGACCAAGCTTCTTTCTTAAGCTTAAATGTTCAAGGGTAGATTTAGGTTAAGTTAGTAGGTTAGGTGAATATAAGCTTGGGTAATTATTACTGGCAGTCAATATCAGTTTATGAGAGGTTAGTGTATAACAGGCAGTTAGTTAATTGTATCAGTTTACAGGAAAGTTAAGATGTGACTAGTGTAGGTTACGACAAGTTAGGTAAGGTAAAATGTTACACAATAATGAAAGTCTTTCAGAATGTGCTTCAACAAGTACATTACTGAACGAACTACATCATTAACATTCTTGGACTGGGTTAGTCTTATACATGACAGTCGACTGCAATACGTACGTTTTTATGCATAATGACCAGGCCAGAGGGGAGTGAGGGCGGGGCGCATCTTGCGATCTGGAGAACCATATAAGCATTTGTCAGACACTTCCTCTTAACCCACCAATTATATCCAAAAGCAAAACTGCTTACATGTGCCAACTAACCTATCCCGGGAACACTTGAGGTCCCATTTCGTGCAATTTACAAAATTAAGGATAATAATAATAATAATAATCTAATAATAATTAATGAATACCATAAACTAATCATAATAATAAATGATGACAAACTAATAAGAGTAATAAATGATGACAATAAACTAATAATAAACTAAGAATAACAAACTAATAATAAATACTAAGAGTAAGTCAACAGTAAACATGATCAGGGGGCGGCTTCCTAAATATGCAATTACCAGAAATGAGGAATTTCATCACGAATTTGATTTTGTGTGCGGCTAGGTTCAGAGAGCGAGGTTCTCCCTCCACCATGATGCATTCCTCAGTGCCAACATCTTCACAGTGACGAGGAGCAAGTTCACTGTGTTTACCTCTGACCTTTGAGACCGCGGCACTCTCCGGCGTCCCTGGCTCCTCGCTCACATAAACACAATGAAACAAGACACGTTTCTTTATATTCCGGTGAGGTATTGTCAGTTTGCGCGCTTTCACCACTACACCTGGGACTCGAGTGTGTGTCTACGTGTATGCATACGGTGAAGTGCAAGTGAAGAGATACCCCGGTACGTATTTTCAAAACGAGGAAGGACCTGCCTGTATGTACCGTGAAGGGACACGTGGAGAGCAAGGTAAACACGGCGTGTGTAGTGTCAACTGGTAAGCGTCCCCAACCCCTTAATGACGTGCTGGAGGGAACTTGAGGGTCATTTACTGCACTTAACAAGGTAGTACACGGGTGTAAATTCTACAATTACGGGTCATTTCGCTACGGTCACAAACTACCTCTACCTGGTTTTGAGTGGTATTTTTTGTTCGCGAATTTTATTTAAGTATTTTTTTTTTCATCTTAGTGTCAACTGATGACAAAAGAGAAATCAATATATGACGGGTGCTAGAACTTAGTGCCCCCAGTGAGATTCCCAGGAGGACGTTTATTTATTTGTTTGTTTGGAATTTTACGAAATTTAATGAAAACTGTTCAACAGTTCGCTCCTTGTGAAGAGAACCCCCCGGGGGATCCCCCTTCCCAGCAATTGTGTGTGGTAGATAAAGAGTTACAGCATTGTTCTCTGTTATAAATCCTTATATGCCAGTGTTAACATAGTCATGTGCACCAGACCGCCCATGCAGTCTGTGTTGAACCTTTCCAGCGAGATGTTTAGTACACAATAACAAAATAAATTAATCCTCCAAGCGGATGCAAACCCTGCCCGTGAAGTTACCATGACATGCTAAATATCGAACTGTTACTGTAAGTTAATGTACAGTAGTGACCAAAGGAGACTCTCGTGTCATCGTCTTCTGTATGTGTTATGCGAACCCTTACCATGGCAACACCTGGTCGTCAGTTTTGCGCCACTTGCACCAAAAGCTTAACATGGGGACCTTGTTATCTGTTCATCAAACATACCATGATTGATGCAAATCTACAAACCCGTTCTAGAGTTATTTTGGGGAGACCTACAGATGGACAGGATTGGAAACCGTATCCCTGTTGCTGAGAAGGTAAAATGGTCAAATTCATCTTTTATCATCCAACCAAACCAAGATGATAAAGAGGACAGGAACATATAACGGTGAACTAATTATATAAACAAAATCAGCGATCACCAACCATCACATGGAACGAAAGAAACTAAATAAATGACACAAGGTAAAAAATAAAATAAATAAATAAAAAACGAAAGCAAGAACGAAAGTGAAAAAAAAATCAATAGTGCTAAGAGATATGAGTGGTGCCTGGGAGGAGCAAAGACGGCCGTCACTAAGCCAATCAACGCTCAAAAATCACTCGAGCAGAGTGGTCGACCCACTCCACTGTTAACTCTGCCAGGACTCCAATTTCGTCTGCTGTTATTGCCCAAATTAGCTCTCAACCAACTTAACTTGGGAGTTTTTCCTCGAGAGAGATCCACTTCACTACATTTTTATTTTTCCTTCTGTTGTGAGTCAGTCGTGAGGGTGTGCTGCTGGATACACGACCAAGAATTGTAACAGACGACCTCCTAATTTTCAGGTTCCCGCTCACAACCAGACGAAGTGCCTGTTACTATTATGATTATTACTTATACCGGCCATGGCTGCGGGGGCACTTAAAGCTCTTTCCTTACACATTGGTGGTTGGTTCAACTCGAGCGTTACATAGTGAAAAATAACCCTGACACCGACAACACCCAAGTAGCGTATTTTTAACACCGAGGAGGAAACAAGAGCCAGCGGGAGTCCTGGCTTCACGTGCTACTTCTTTCATTGTTTAAACATGTGAAGGGTATATTGTGTTGCAGTCGAGTGATCTAATGTACTGATAATAAAATGGTCAGGTCTCACACACACAGGTGGCCACGTCAAGTCAGTTTGAAGTTTTAAGACCTACATTTATCGAATATTTGAGAACTGACATCAGGGATACACCAATTTTCGTATTAATCACCATACTAGGCAGTCCCATTTACACCCAACCCCCTATTGCTCATATATCCATCCAACCTATGTTTGAAGCTATCCAGCGTATTTGAGTTAATGATGATGTTTGGTAACTTGTTCCACTCATCCACTACTCTTAATTTCCAAACCAGTGTTTACCTATGTCACGCCTAAATTTAAATTTGACTAATTTAAAACCATTGCTACGAGTTCGCTCCTGGTTGGATAGTTTGAGTACCTTTGTCTCACCTTTGTTTAGTCCTGACTTCCATTTACACACCTCGATCATACCGCCCCTCACTATACGATCATAAAATCTCCGCCTCTCACCGTCTGCCACACGTATATCATTTGGTTCCTTCCACTAGCGTCCCTCTCAGCAAATATTCAGGGATGTTTTCACTGTGTCCAGCTAACTACTTTTCTTTTATGTGTATACGTATGGATTAATTACGCTTGGGAAGACTAGTGTCCTGGAGTCATCCTTTAGAAGGGGGGAGGGGTGGAGTACCTCGTGTGACCATTTACTCGTCCTTTTAAATTTTAGTTCTTCAACATGTGCCTCGCCCCCCCTAAAGAGGCGAGGTATATAAATGTAACATAAGGTATAGGTACCAGAAGGCACTTTTCACCCTTACTGTTCCAAATTGTTCAGCATTAAGTGTAATATGCATGTAAAATAATTTCTACCTATATACAAATGTGTAAGAGCCAATTTATATGGCTACCATTATGCTTAAAGTTTCCCTTATATGTTTAATTTTCTTGTAAATTAATGGAGTTATGAGAGAACAGTTAACGAAGTGGTGTTGTGGAGGTACCACTGACCACAACTGTAAGTGCTTCCTCTCTGACCCCTGGCCTAGATTTTTAAGTCTCGTGTTGACCAAAATAGTTGTTTGTCTTATCACAGACTTGAGTCAATTACGTGTATAAGACTGGACGAAGGACAACCTCGAGCTTGGCCGCACTACAATAACTGATGCAGTAACTCATAATGACCTTTATTCTTCGCCCAAGACGGTCATTGGAGTAACGTGGCTGGTAATGTGGTCAGGAGTAATGTGGTCAGGAGTAAGGTGATCAGGAGTGATTAATGTGGTCAGGAGTAAGGTGATCAGGAGTATGATAGATGTAAGGTGATCAGGAGTAATGAATCTTTAATCTTTTAAACTTTGATAGTGATTGGCCAGTCAATAATTGCGAATTTTTTTTTAGATTGCCCACGAGGGGGCTAGTTTATTGGGCACCTCCTTACATCCTGTGCAAGGTGAAGCGCAGAAGCGTTTACAGTGCCCATCGGGGAAGCATGCGGAGTTCATGCTTGCCTTTATGACTCGTGCATTAAGGGCGTAAAAGCCTGAAGGGTCATGGGTTTTGTCAGCAAGTTAATAATTGTGGAGTTTGGCTTTCTAGTGTGGGGTGACCTTTAACCTTGACCCTGACCCGATGCTATAACTATTAGAGAACTAAACTTGTATTTTAATATCAGTGAAATTCGAGGGTGAATCGATCAGTGGATGAACACAATAACCGACAAGCACGATCGATTAATAATACGTTAAACCTTCTTGTGGTGAGGTACTTTAACCTCCACACTTGATGGAACACTGACGATATTTCCTCCCCCTTTTGTATGTCATTGCAGTAATAAACGTGTTGACTCAGTGAACGACTTTTCTTGTACTCTTTTTAGCTCGTCGTTTGTATGAGAAAGTAATGAGCTGTTTTCACTGTCCTGGAGTCATTGTTGTCCGGTTAAGTAAGTTGTGATAAACTCAGGCGAATGTTTACTTCCATCCGCTGTTTAATGTCTACCACAGCTTCCTCCTCCCCATCCAACCACCTTGTAACACCTTAATGGCTGTCATTATCAAATAATCTGTGTTTCATTTTTCTTCTTCGGTATAAATATAAAATTCTCTACCTTCCTACTTACATCAGAATGTCGAGGTTGCACTTGAAGTTCTCTCTTAAGTACCTACAGTATGTTCTGATGTGCCAGTTACAGGAGAAAATTAATATACGGTTCTTTAAGAATCCAGATCCAGGTCAAGGCTAGCAAGCTGTCCCCATGGAAACAGCTCCAAAGTCAGCGGTAAAGTGGAACAACCAGCTGTGTGTGTTGACATGGGTACCTGCCTCCCTGCTGGTTCACACCACCAGTGTGCCAGTATAACCCCGGACACTTCCCTCATCCGGCCTTCTTAAAACTCGCTAATCTGTGCCCTTGAACACGTTGTGTCCAAACTCAAGAGTTGAATGTAGCGCAAATTTAATTTTCAACTTGGCAGTATTTTTAAAAAGACACTTTTGCTGCTTCCTCGTGAACTTTTTCATCGTTATTGTCGCCTTTCTGCTACGTCTTTTTCCCCGGCCATAACTCATTTTTTTAAGAGTTTTATATTATATTTTGTTGTCGCTTCACTGAACCGTTTTCTTTCCTGGCTGTAAGTCGTTATTTTTTAAGGG